AAATAACATTCACCGCGACAAATTAAGCTTCATCTGAAAAAAGAATATAGTATTCTTAGATGTTTGTTTAAGAGTTCAAATTAATAAAAAAATTTAGTTGTTTGTGTTCGTTCCCTCAAACCATGATATTTTAAAATGTTAAAGAAATTTTTTGACGATTTATCTAAGACACGATAAAATTTTGATCGATAATTAATCATAAATTAAGCTTAATACTTAATATATCATAAATTAAGCTTAATACTTAATATATCATAAATTAAGCTTAATACTTAATTTTCAAGGATACATTTTAATTATAATGATTAAGTTCTATTTTGCATACGGATAAATTTTCTAAAGTAGTAAAAATTTATTTTTGAAAATATATATAGCACATTATAGAGTTTAATCAAATAGTCAAACTGACTCCGCACATTTAATCACCTTCAATCACATTGTACAATTATTAGCACACATTATATATTAGCAAATTGTTACAAATAAATAAATCATCCTTGAACAACAGCATAAACATTTAAATACATTCCAGATCTAAAAACTCTATCAAAATAATCAAAATTCAAATGAGGCCAATATTTATCAACCAATACCAATTCAATTTTCTTGGTTTCTGGGTTTGGCTCTTCAAATATTGACAAGTCTGTCGTTGAAGGCGTTACTAACAACGTTCTATTTGCAAAAATAGTATAATTTAAAATTTTAATTCAGCTCTATGTTTTTCCTCTTCTTTGAATAATAACCATAGTATCATCAAATACCTTTCATATTGTCTTAGGGTAATATTACCATCGAAACGTTGTTGAAAATAAATATGTCTCAAATAAGGAGTAATTAATTGTTTTTTGGGGCTAACTTGTTTCAGCAACAAAGTTTCTAAAATTCTGATTGGTCGACCAGATAGATCATGAATGTTAACTTGCACACTTGTGCCTGTAATTTTATAAGCTTATAATTAAAAATATATATATATATATCACAAAACAAAATAGAAATTATAATACCACGCCAAGATTCCGGGTACCCAAATAGATGACGTGGAGGCATATAAGTTTTGTAAAATATGATGTTGGTTATAAAAGTCTCTGAAGGGTTTATGACTATATTTATAATAGCAAAGTAATTAATAAGTAAAAACCTTTATTGTAAGTCTAAAAGGGTAATTAACCAGATTATTCTCAAACAAACCTGGTCTAATAATCCTTTTACCAATATCACAACGAACGTATCCTTCGTATTCCTCACAATTCCTGAATCCAATCGCTTCATGCTGTAGTCTTTGAATTACTGGTATAATTCCTGCTTGATGAAGTCCACCAAATAACATTGCAAATATGGCATTAAATATTACCCATGAAAGCTTCGAAATAATAAATTAAAATTCAGGATCGGAAATTACAATAAGAAAGATTAAAGATTTACATCGTCTAT